CAGAAATTCAGGACATGCGCCCGCAATATATCTCAGCGGTTTTTCCTATGAAAAGTTATTCATACCTAACAAACGCAAGTTTTAACTAAAAAAATACATTTTGCTTAGTTTTTTGTTTAACTAAAACAGAAAAATACAAATATTAGGTATTGACGGCCTTTTACATACCTTTCATTTATTATGATGGGATATAAAGTGATGCGCATGGTAAACGACTCAAATATTTTGTGTATACATCGCTATCCCTCCGTGTAGCCCACACTGGAAGAAAGCCTGGTTCCTAAGCTTCTTGTTGATACCAAACATGGACGACAATTCATGAAACATCGTTCTTCTTGCAATGTTTTACGGCCTATCGACAGGGTATTTATGGGTAAAATATCAACATTTTGTCCCGTAAATTGGAACAAGTTAAATAAATCGTATCACTATGAAATTATGCAGACAAGCAGGGGACAACATATATTTTGCGACGCGAAGTCTGCAAATGTCATGAAGGGTTCGAGGGATACATGCGGCCAGAGCAAAATGTACGTTTTGAACGATTTTCTCAAGTTTTACTATACTTTATTATACGCCGATGTACTATGAAGTGAACTTGAATAATGGAACAACTTATAGGTAAGATTCCGATGCGAAACTTTTCTGTTTTACGGTCCAGATATAGTTTATATTATTGCGAAGTCTGCAAATGACATAGCTATTATCAAACAAGTTTAAATTTAAAAAAACCGCACCACTCCTAATGATTTATATATAACAAATCCGCCATTTTGTTTGTCAAAGTTCGCACATGCTCAGAATCAATGTCCGTAATTTCTGGCCATGTAATTTGCGAAATCTGCAGTTTGCGAAATCTGCAGTTTGCGAAATCTGCAGTTTGCGAAATCTCTAGATAGATTGCTATTCAAATTTGCAGTTTGCGAAAACATATAGCAGAAAGTAAAAAAATGTTTACCTTTTCGAAAGTTTTCGATGCGATCACCAACATTTTTATGTCAAACCTCGCGGCTGCGATCCACTTGACCATCTGAAGAATTTCCGGGAAAATCCCATAGTCAGGGCAAAATTTCCAATCAATTTGCTGGCAATGGTGTATTTTCAATCTTAAACTTTTACATTTTGCAGTCTCAGACATATAATTACCGTATATAAAGAAGTTTATTTGACACTGCCACTGAAATATAACTAATACAAATAAAGCAATTTATTGTGATAACGTTTTATCGCAATTATGACTTCGTGTAGTCAGGTAGGTTCTTAATTAACTAGGTTAACTTGCACAGAATTTAATTGTACTGTTGTCATTATAAAACTCATTAATAATTCATGAGGAAAATACAAAAGAAACGAATGTTTAATCAATGTTTGTAAATCGCATAAAGATTTGTCCTGATTAATACATAAACTTCAGCTTTGATTTTCTCGGCTTAGACAATGCATGTCTATTTTTAAATTACTTCGCCAATGAACTCATAAGATGGGTCGTTTTATAAGTACGATAAAACATTCGCATCTCGCCTTCGGCTCGAGTTTGTATATCAGATAAAAAATCTCTAGTACTTATGTTCCGTTAGTATGTGTGGTAAAATTATATTTCTGGAAATGCAAACAGCATACTAAAGTAATCAATTAAAATTCTGTAGTATATACAGACTATAAAACATTAAAAGTATAATAATACAGACCATGCATGCACGATAAAGGGTGGATGTGGGGCCTATATATGGACCCCTTATAGTGTGCACACCCCTTATAGTGCTTTCTGGTCAGTTGTCATATCAACTTTGCACTATCCTTGGGATCTCTGAGTTCATAACGTGTCGTGGGTTATTTGTATGTTATCACGATGTTAAACCCCCGGAACGTTTTCACTATACGGAATGTTTTCCGTAGGGAAAACGATATCAGATAGGCCTTCCATTTATCTATTGACGTTAAGAAAACCATTTCTGAAGTTGAAACGGAGCACCGATGCTGAAAATTCACGTTTCACGTCGGATAGCTGTCGTGTATCGGATCTATGTTTAGTAGTGCATGTGCAGTCACACTGTCGTTTGTGGGAATAGTTCAAAATGATACAAAACTTTGGTGTTTACACTACATAATTGTATAGTCTTATGAAACGACCTATCGCATAGAGTGTAAATGAAGTCTCCATCATGATGCATATGAACGGTACTTCATTTTAATTTGTTTTTCAAAGGTTGTATTCAGTGGAGTAAGAGGAAGTAGTTACCGAGGTGACATTGCATTGGATGAGATTTCAATCACATCCGGTCAATGTTCAGGATCTCCAGGCACACCAAAACCTACAGTAACACCAAAACCTCCATCAGGGTCATGTGGCCAGAAAGGATATGGTCTGAGTGACTTCCCCAAAATTGTCGGTGGTCAGGAAGCCACACCAGGTGAATGGCCATGGCAAGTAGCACTTTTGCGAGGAACATTCCCATTCTGTGGTGGTTCACTTGTTTCAAATCAATACGTTATTACTGCTGCTCACTGCGTCAAATCAACGGACTGGAATCGCGTGACGGTAATTAAAGATTATATTAATCGTATCTGGCCAAGCCCAGTGGTAATATTCCCTGACGGTATCCTAACTGTTATTACCACTTTCGGCTATAATTTGAGTTCATTGATAATATACTGACTAACCATGGCCTATCGAAGGGAAGATGTCTGTCAAACTCATTAGAATAACAGTTATCTATGCTAGTCAACGTTTGTTCCTAAATCTGGCCCTTCACCGTCACGTGTGTGTTGTATTATTGCCCTGCAACTAACCTTTTTTTAGTTTAGCTTAACAATGTTTTAGGAAGGTTGCATATATATCCGTGACTCAAACAATATGGTAAATTGGAAATTGCTATTGGTGGATTTGACAAAAATACAATATGCACGTGACAGTGAAGGACCAGATTTATGAATAAAGGTTGACTAACATATAGATAATGAGTTATATTGTTATTCTAATGAGTTTCATGGCCACGCATCTTCCCTTTGATATAGGCTAGGAAGTAACTGAGCCTTCGTATCTTTCCAATTTGAATAAAACTATTGAAAAGAGAAACCTTTGTTTATAGTCTTCTATGGTTTATATACATTCTTCTTTTTACATTTTCAGTCACACTTTGTTCTGACAAATTTCCCATTTCAGATCAGAGTAGGTGAACATGATATGCGTGTGAAGGAAGGACATGAACAAGATATCAGTATTGCAAGAAATGGCATTACAGTTCATCCTCAGTACAACAGTAGAACAACGGATTATGATATTGCAGTCATCAGACTTTCCAGAAGTGTTCAGTTTACACAAAGGATAAAGCCCGTCTGTTTTAACAGAGGCATTGATTTCACTGGTAAAGTAATGTTATTTTTAGAGCAATATAGAAACTTAAGCCGAAAAGGCGAGGTATTGAATGCTACTATCATTATCAATATTATCTTTATCACTCAACAGCCCAAGTAAGGGAACATTGAAACGTAGCGCTTTTCATGTGCCGCTCCTATACATTGCATGGTTTAGCTGAAAAATTCAAGAGCTGGTTGTACAACGGGCAGCCATGCAGTGCTATATCCACCGATACTAAAATTGTCCGTTGATTGGTACAACCCTGATTAAACTTCAGTGTATATAAAGTAAAGTTTCTTTTTATATATTAGTTATAAATGTTAAACTTTTCCACCTTTTTCAACGACAAAAAGACCAGATTACAGGCGCTCTTTGTTTTTCTACTGGTATTACGCCTATTAGCAAAATAGCAATTCAGAATTAACCAATGAACAATACATTATCACGACACAAATGCGTGTTTATGGTAATGCACTTGATGGTAACCTCCCTAAGCATTGAGCTCATAAGGTCTTGAACGCTACCTCCAAAACAACGTTCGTATACATATATAGATCAAATACCGAAGTTATGGTGTTTCTATATAGGTCAACGTTGTTATATCACTAGATGGGGCAGACTGCAAAGTGGAGGATCAACGCCAAAGGTCTTACAGGAAGCTCAAGTTCCTATTGTAACTCCACAAGAATGCAAAAAAGCATACGGCAGCTCGCGCATTACTGATAAAATGCTGTGCGCTGGATATTCTCAAGGTGGTATTGACACTTGCCAAGGTGACAGTGGAGGTAAGACTCAAGAACAGATATGATTTGTTCGTCTGCACAGTCAAAACGACATGCCAGCAACCACTATGCAAGATCTACAATCCAGACCAAAACTTATGTGGACACTTAATCCATAAAAATAATAACAAACAGCTAAAACCCGAACTCACAGGCATACCACCCCCCCCCTCCCCTTCTTCAATTTTGATATCCGAATTATATACACTTCTTATTTGATTAAAAATCCCATTCAACATTGGCTTGTAGTGGGGCCGGATAATTATTTAGAAAAAACACCACTTGAGTCTTGAGTCCAATGTCTGTGGGTTGTCCACAACGTTTTGGCCAGGATTGTAGTTGCCCCATATAATTGCCACAGGTAAGAGTTTAAACCTGCAAAGGTACAGTGTGCCACTAACCATTTAAAGGCAACCGTTTAAACCGACCTAATTCAATGTTGTCTTCCTTTCGCAGGTCCACTTGTTTGTCAACATAGTGATCGGTCATGGTATCTTACTGGTGTGACGAGCTGGGGTCGTGGATGTGCATCTGTCGGATACTATGGAGTTTATGCTCATGTTGCCAACCTTTACCCCTGGGTGAAGCAAGTTACAGGACTTTAATTTTAATATACTACCAGTAGTTTGATAGAAATACTTAATAACCTCTGAAAATGCAAATGCAAAAATGATTCTGAAAATGCAATATAGTGTAACCTAAACCACATGTTTTGTCAGTATTCGTCATAGTCTAGTTAGTATAGATCATTCTGGTAATTATGTCACAACTAACACTGTTTTCAACTTAGGACGAGGGACGCCGGAACTGGGGGGGGGGGCAGGAGGGGCAAGGGGGGCAAAGGTGCCCTTTCAGTTTAAAGGATTGCCTTGTCGAAATAGCGAATTGTCAGAAATGTTAGTGCAATTCTTTTACGAATTTGCTTCAGAAAACGCAAGAAATGCAGCCATCGAGCTTTAAGAATAGCACAATCGTCTGGCGGATTAGGCGAGGTTCAACTCTCAATGTTTTGCAAACATATCTTAGTATATATGAATTCAAAGGTGCCCTTTCACGAAAATCTGCCCGCCCCCTTGCCTTCACATCGTTCGGCGTCCCTGCTTAGGACCACATTAAATGGAATAGATTTCAAGTTTGCTTCTCACGAGCTATGGTCAGAGAAGCAGAACATCCTTCGCCAACACATGCATAAAAATAATTTTGGGTTTTGACTATTAAATGTGGAAATAAGCTTAAACACGAAAACGACGCTGAGGGGACATGGCGCTGTTGGCCCTTTTCCACATTTATTGTCCAAAATTCTTTTATGCACGTGTTGAAGCACGTGAGAAACAGAGCTCGTGAGAAACAAACTTAATTCAAGTCAATTCTATTTAAGGTGATCGATCTTAAGTTGAAAACCGTGTTAGTCACGTGACGTAATTACCGGAAAGGTCTATTGTCTTAAACCATGTATGCTGTATTATTTACATGAACTCGCACTGTAACGATGTAAATCCATTGAAGAAATTTAAGTACTTCTAAACCTTTTTTAACTCTAAAAAGTTTTAATAAATTTAGAAAATACTCCAAAGTGTTTTGTATCTGTTTGTTTTAAAATTTGGCGTTATATTTTCCGAAATAATCATCGTAATTTGTAAACGTTTTCATTGATATTTTTGAAAATGTATCAAAGTTTTTTCTACAACTATATATTACTTTTCAATCCGAGACACTCATATATTTTCAAAATTTGCCCACCGAAATTGTATGGATATACCCGACGAGATAGAGACTGGGGGGGGGGGG